CTGCTTCCTAGGGCTGAGGGAGTGACTGACCCAAAGTCACCCAGCTGGCTTTGTGCCTAAGGCACGATTAAAACTCACAGTCTCCTGGTTTCTAGTCTGGTGCCTTCACCACTACACCAACTGGCTCTCTTTTAAAGGATACTAATTGAAGCAAATAAATGAACAGGAAAGTAATATGTTGAAAAGCAAAGAGGGAGAGGCTACATTAACTTGTTTCTTTATCCAGTTCTGTTCCTTGAAAGTATTGTTAGGTTTCAAACAAGTGGATCTATATTAGTCTCAAATGTAAAATAGTCAGTGTCTTTCTGGGTTTCACCATAGCTTGATGCAGGAGAGGATCTGCCTGTTACCAGAGGTTGGCTGAAAGATGAGTCTGTTTCTTCAGTTTAAAGAACTTGTGCCCCTCTTCTTTTAAATCCATCCCAGCCCACTGCTCTGAAACACTGAAAGGTTTCAAATGAAGTCTTTGCAAAGGGTTTCTTGTTGCTCTTCTGGCCTCCAGCCAGTCTACTTAGCACATCGTATTCATGGCAGCAACTCCCAGTCTTTTTACTTTATGTGCATCACTCTGTCGTCAACAAAAGCTTTTGTGGGTCACGAGGCGCCATGGTCCACCTAACTCTCCACATGGTGTCTGTGGGACTCCAAGCTTAACTTAAAAATACTGTTGTTGTTCTTGTTGTTTTTAATGGCTAAAGTTACCGTTAGGTTCTGAGCAAGAATGCCAACATCTCATTATCTCTGTTCCTTGGTCCCTATCAAGCATTAAGTTCTCCTCTGCCGTTATTATCTGTTGAATAATGTTATTTCAATAACTTTCCAGTGGACAGGCATCTGCATTCTGTAACAAACTGTAAGATTTAGGCTGTAGTTTGCTACAAAGGTATATGGCATCCCTGATTATCAGTGCTTCTTCCACATTTTTGTCAGTTGTGAGAAGTACTTTGTAAAGTTTCTGTTTAAAAAAGTCATTTCTGTAACAGTCTAGATTGCTTCCTGGTTGGTGTTTTGTTAAAACAAGATAAATCTGACTGTAGTGCTTTCAAATTACGCTTTTTCCTTCATATTCCAACAGTATGTTCAATACGTTCAAAATATAAACCCCACCACCACCATTCCTTCCACAACATCCATGCTTTTTTATCTAATTATTGATTGGTAGCCTTTTGACACAGTCCAAAAAGAAACAATGTCATAAATTACTTTCTTTCAGAAACTGACTTTCTTGCTGCCATGAAGGCTTCCAGGTTCTAGTGTAGAGCAGATACCCTTCTTGTTAGCCTTGCAAGATAGTCCAGACAAGAAGCACATCAAGAAGTACTAGCTCCAACTTTACTGTAAGGTTACATTAACAGAATCTTGCAAGTCTGAAAGTACATCTCCCCCCCCCCCCCACCAACACCCCTTTACAGTCCAAGAAA